TATAAAAAGGAAAATCGCTCGTTGTGTCCCTGTAGTACAATAGATAGCGCGTTGGACGTCTAATCCAAAAGGTTTTTCTCCAAATCTCACATGGGATGACCTAGTTTCGAAGAATATGTGTTTTCTTTTTACTATACTATTTTATTGGAATAATTAATGAATAAATAGTAACAAACAAAAATAATAGTCCAGCACCCTATATAAAAAGGAAAGTAGAAAACTAAGGAAAATCAGTTTCTATCTTGCCACTTAATATTGTAATTTTGTCATATGTATATACATATTTATATTAATTGTAATTATTTAATAAAAAAGTAACTAAAATAAAAAATTTCTTTGTTGACCTAAGTAGGAATCAACTTTAATTTTTTTATATTACTTGTTATTTAAAATATAATGCACATATTCTTTAATTGATTCTATCATAAGGTTTTCACTGGATTCTATTCCATACTTTTCATTGAAAACAGTCCAGATTTCATGCTAGAGACTCGAAAAAATTTGATTAAGAACTACATCTCTTTTTCCCTTGATCAAGCATATTTATATCGCAACTTACGAAGAATAACAAAAAGAACGTCTGCTAAATAAGCATAAAATACATTAATTATAATTAAGAGATATTATATGAAGGCTACAATTATTGCTAAATCTCAGTCAAAATCTGACTCAATTTATCGTTTTCATCATTAGCGCAACTACATATCAAAACTGCAATAATTCTTACTCGCTAAATCAATTCCATCGATATGCCTTATGTATTCTAATCTCTTTTCTCGACTTCATTGTGAAAAAGCTTTAAAAAAACAAGAAAATGTTGCCTTCAGTTCTTACACATTTCCACCTATAATTGGAACCAGATTTAATCAACCCCTGTTTATCAAATTCTGTGATTTAAAGAACTTTTTCTTTTCCCCGAATAAAATGAAGGAAAAAACACCTATTTAACAAATAATAAACCCCGAATTAACAAATTATTTCAGCAACCGAAAAAAGATTATTTTTTTTTAATAGTTTGAATTAGAAAAATAGGATTTCTTTTCAATTAACATCCTTTTTACCAGGATTAGAAAAAAAAAGTTTTCTTGTGAATAGCAAATTTCGACAGCGAAAGGTGTAGTTCATAGTTAGACTTTACAGGTGTAGATGTATCATGAATGTAACCTATCGCGTGAGTTTTGAATAGAACAGGAAATTCATTTTATCTCACCCCACTCCACAACGCAGGAAATATTTTAAGAGATTTTACCATTTGCTCTCTTTCTTCAGAGAAGTGTGGTTTGTTATACCTGTTGTATTGTAGAGAATTTGTGAAGCATGGTAGAATATCAGAAGCGAATGCATAGCGTTTTATATGCAGAGATTGCTAATGAAACTCCTATTAAAACTATTACATTTTCTAACTCTTTACATTGTTTGGAAATTGAGAAAACTTACCTCATGCAGAAGGATTTAAAAAATGCAATATTTTCTTTGCATAATGTTGAAAAGAAACTCTTTCGAGTCAGGAATCAAAAAGATTGTTTAACATCTGTGACGGGGCTTTTATCGCGATTTCTATTAACTGTTCTTTTGGGGCATCCTTGGGGCCAAAATGGCAACTCTTTCCAACCAACTCAAGAAGACGAACGTGTATATGTAAATTAGGAATCATATATATATATGGGAAGTTTAGCATTCGCGAGGTCGCTAAGTGGAATCGTTAAGTGAAGTCGCTAGGTGTGGTTGCTAAGTAGAAAGGTAGTCGCGATATGAGATATAGTCTTGAAGAGGAATCTTAATCCTGGAATTTAACCTAACAGTGCCAGTGAAAATTAACCAAAAGTGGGTATAGCCTGATTAAAGCCAGAACAGAAGTGATAAGGACCGTAAGATTGATAAGTTAAACTTTAAGTATAAAACCTTTACTAGTGAGATAGAATTTAATCTATGAAGTTAGATTCAGTGGTTAATTGCGCTATTGATTGGTTATACGGGTTGCGTCTTCTCGTTCTTGATCATACTCCGATGATTATTCTTGTTGTATTGTGTTTAATAAGAAGATTTTAGTATGAATGACTTTAGTAGTTCTTCGTTCCTCCCCACAGAGACAGGTCACGTGGATAGTGTAAAACGGGGACCTCACACATCTATTAGTCAGCATTTTAAAAATTCCAATTAACAGATGCGTTATAATTCGCTAGTAGTATTTTTAGATGCTGAATAAAAAGTACGCCATTTCTAATTATGGATATTTTTAAGTAATTGTTTATTATAGAATTTCCAAAAGGTAAGTGCGAAAAATTTATATATATATATATATATATATATATATATATATATATATATATATATATATATATATATATTTACCCCGATGTTGTGAATAATCCCGAATTAACGGATAAAATGTTCGGAATTGAAGAATTCATTTTATAGAGGTCCAATTGTACTTAGAAAATGGATGAATAGCAGTTGAATGGATAAACAAAACAAGATGGTATAAAATAATGTAAACGAGAAAGAGGCTTACAACATAATGACAGAAAATTCTTCATGTACTCGTATTTACTTTAAACATTTTAAAGTATCTGACTACGTTCGGAATTATGATTTTGTAAAAGTGTACAGACGAATATTTTTTTAATGTTTAGCGTCACTCTGATAAGAATACACGAATAGAATTGTTTTAAAACTATTATTATAATAAAAAATTATTTAACTGTAATTTTTGGCAAAAAAATGAACATAAAATTTCCTACTTTCAAAACATTCTCCTTTTACGTAAAATGCTACTATCATAAAAATATTTTCCTTATATATAAGTAGCTAATACTTCTCCAGAAAGACTGAACTAGGATTTTTGAAATATATATCTTAGAAGTGAATTTACCCATATTTTAATAAATCAGAATGGAAAAATTTTAACAAAAAAACATCCAATAGTATTTTAATTGGAGGTAACTCAAAAATTAATGTGAATTATTCAAAAATCCTAATTCACTTTCTCTGGAAAAGTATTAGCTACATATACGGAAAATATTATTATGATAGAAGCATTTTTAATAAAAGGAGAATGTTTTGATAATAGGTGATTCTATGTTCTTTTTTTGTCAAAATATTGTATTTAAATAATTTTTTATTGTAATAAAATTCTTAAAACAGATTTTTATACGTGTATTCTAATTCTAAGTGACACTAAATATTTAAAAAAAATATTCGTTTGTACGCTTTTACAAAATCACCGTTTTTGAGCGTAGTCGGATACCTTAAGATTCCCTACCAAAATTCTGCAAAAATCCAGAAAAATGTAATGAAATAAAAAATATTTAATATTAAAAAAGAAGTCTAACTGTACCTACGATCTTCGAAAGGGGATTACCATTACTTCATCAAGAAGACATTGCATACAACGAGCATAATAATTTCATCAGCAATATTTTTTCTTTAGACATATGCCTGTGAACTAGCAAAATTAGAATCATTGTTACTTGTATATTATATTTCTAAGGCACTTTAATAGTGTTGTTACCTTATTTTACTCCAGTTCGTAGAATAAAGTGACATAAAATATATATATATATATATATATAATCGCTCTTTTTAAATTTCTCTCTCGCTCCCTCATTTTGTCTCGCAATTACTTTACTGTTTTTCGTATCTTAATTAAATTAAAACGAAAAAGTGAAAGTGAAAGTCATTTGGTTAATAAAACTAATAAAATCGATTAAAGATCTAATCTGCAAAAAAACTTTTAGCTTATCTTAAAACTATCAAAATTTCTTATGACATGATAAATATTCAAAAGAAATATTGTTCATACTACTTTAAGAAAACTATCACGGAAGTCTCCTGCCTGACGACATTTAAGATAGCATCGGTGATAGGCTCTGAAGTAATTGCTAATCGCCCAGTTAATTATTTTTTAGTTAAGAACATTATCTTTCATTTATGAACTTTCCAGTAAAATTTTGCCTTATCTTTTAAAATTAATTAAATGTTCGTATCTCGTTATTTTTAAAACTTTTAATCTTACTTGCGCGCGTGAACGTGATTATAAAAGAAAAAGTAAAAAAAAACACACACACACACACTCTCTCTCTCTTCAATGTTATCGGCATAGATATTTGAGAAACTTTCATTAAATGACAGTTTTAAACAGAAGGATGCAATTACTTAAAAATAAATTAAACAAACCTTTTATATCTATTTTTTTTATTGTTTAAAAGGGTTCTACTTAATTTTTACAATGCAGTTTAGATTTCCAAGCTTATTTGAAATTTAAAAGCTTATCGAGAAAGATAAGAATCATGTATATCCTGTATTATATTAAACTAAACAAATCATTGATCTTATGCAAATTAATTATTAAAACACTGAAAAACGCCGATATCTCTTCATCAGGATTGCATTCTTGCAAACTCTTTTCTTTGTTACTAGCTCTTAAAAACCTTTCAGATTAAAATTCTTGCAACATAGAAAAGACTAAATAATGTTATTAAAAGAATTTTCTTTAATTTTTACTGAACAGCCAAACAAGAAGTACTGTATAGATTTCTCTTCATAAAAATTATCTAACTCTTATATAAAGTAGTTTTTTTTAATATTTTTTCTAAAGAATTATCCATTTACAAGATAAAACTGTCTCCTACAATTATTGATTATATGTGTAATATATTCAAATGTATGAGGTGAACCAAAAAGTCTTTCCCTGTATTAACAAGTAATCCAAAACAAAAAAAAACAAATTTTAAGACAATTCCTACTTAGGTCAACAAAATTTTTTTTAGTTACTTTTTATTAAATAATTACAATTAATATAAATATGTATAGACACAGGACAGAATCACAATATTAAGTGGTTAAATAAAAATCGATTTTCTTTGCAATTTTTCATTTTCATTTCTATATATGGTGTTGGACTATTATTTTTGTTTTTGTTACTATTTATTCATTAATTAAATTTAACTATTCCAATAAAATAGTATGGAAAAAAGAAAGCACTTTCACATAACTTAGATCATCCCAGATGGGGATTTGAACTCACGACATTTGGATTAGACGTCCAACGCGCTATCTACAGCGCTACAGGGACACAACGAATGGCTTTCCTTCTTATATAGGGTGTTGGACTATTATTTTTGTTTGTAACTATTTATTCATTAATTACATAGAATTGATGAATTAATATTTGAAAAAACTGCATTAACATTAAAAAAATTAATTAAACTGTATTAAACAAATGTATTTGAACGTGAATGGATGAATAAAAAGTATTTTACTAATGATTGAAAATTTAAACAAGATATATATATATATATATATATATATATATAGGGAGAGAATGATCTATAATAGTAGGAATTGAAAAAAATTAATAATAGTACAAACATATAGAAAAACACACACACACACATATGTATAATAATAATAGTTTGAACACAATAAATATTCATAATCAGAGCAAGACTTTTTTTTTGTTTCACCATATATAAAGAAAATTCTGATATTCCGGATTCCGAGACATACATAACATTTTAGCACGGCTCTGAATCCTTTTATATTTAACCTCCAATTTAAAATCATTTGTCTGATAATTTTCAGCAAAGTTTCTCATATTTTTTAAACAATTTTTTGCCAATTTAAGGTATCTGACTACGTTCGGAACCGTGATTTTAAAAAAGCGCATAAATGGATAATTTTCATGATATTTAGCGTCACTTAGATTAGAATACATGTATAAAATTGTTTTAGGACATTTTGACAAAAAAATTATTTAAATACAATACTTTGGCAAAAAATTAACTTAGAATAACCTTTTTTCAAAATGTTCTGCTTTTGTCAAAAATGATTCTATTATAATAATATTTTGCCTGTATATAGCTTAGACCTCTGTACAGAGGCTCAACTATGATTTTTGAAAAAATCACATTATTTTCAGAGTTACAACCCATTGAAATATTTATCGGCGTTTTTTTTTCGTAGTATTTCTCCCCTTTGTTGTCGTAAAACATGGATAAACCCACTTCTAAGTTATATATTTCAAAAATTCTAGTTGAGCCTCTGTACAGAGGTCTGAGCTATATACAAGCAAAATATTTCAGAAGCATTTTTCGCAAAAGGAGAATATTTTGAAAATTGGTCATTCTACTTTCATTTTCTGTCAAAGTATTGTACTTAAATAATTTTTTATTGTAATGCGCTATTCTTAAAACAATTTTATATACCTTTTCTAATCTAAGTGACACTAAATATCATAAATACTATCCTTTTATACGCTTTTGCAAAATCACGGTTCCGAACGTAGTCGGATACCTTAAAAATACGAAATATAAACCTTCAAGTCAATGTCCAATTCCAATTATTTTTTCTACAGTTTCTATATATATAATTCCAATTTAGATTTAAATTCCTTTTTCAGAAACGCTGTCTGGGTTTGTTTATTTTCAATACATTTTATTTTTATTTATTTATTTCTTTTTATTTTTTATTATTTACTACCATTGTAATTTTGATATAATATACTTTTTCCAAAGTAAAGCTCTTGGTTTCACTTTTTTTTAATTTCTTGCGTCTATTTTTTTATGTTTTTTCATCGTTCATTTTTCTAAAACAACTACGAAAGTCATATTTCGTGAGGATCATATGTATCGCCTGGGAAAACTTCAAGGCAATAAAAATAAAAATCATTTCTCAAATAAAAAGGAAAAGGAAACTGATTCGCTTCCTATAAAGTTGAATAAAAGGATTTCCTTATTGTGTAAATACTTAAGTTGTATATTTTCATAGAACTCCTGAATTCTAACAGAAAAAAACTGTAAAAAAAGGAATGTTCTCTTATTTTTGAAAGCTTAACAGGGAAAAAATTAATTTCAAAGAAAATAATAACTGAAGTTGAATAAAATAACAAACATCGTATTCTCAAGCGAATATCTTTATCTGAATGAATTGAAATGTATTTATAGAAGACTTAATGTGTGAGAGAGAGTGACTTTTTGTTCTTAATCAGATATCTATGGGGGGGGGGAATTATCGGATAATATCATCTCTCTTCGGAGATGTATTACAATAATCAGACTGAAGATTCTAATCAGAATTAAGTTTTATTTCTTCCAAATCAGCGACGAAACTAAACTTATTGTCTTTTTGTCTCATTATTTAGAAAAGCAATAACGGGTTTTAGACCGAAAGTAAGAAATAAATCAGGAGACTAATAAATTTCCCTCCTAGCTAATACCGAACAAAGGGAGTGAAGGAAGAGGCGAGAAATGCTCCCGGTTATCAACAGAAACCGATAAACAGGTAGGTTTTCTTTCTTTTTTCCTTTCACTATGTGAGCTTTAAAGTAATATATTCAGTAAAAAATTAAAGTTCTATTGTATTTATGATAGTTTGCTTTTTTATATACATATTAACTGTATATGACATTTTGAGATTCTAATGAAAGTGTATAATGTAGTGCAATAATGAGACGTTTCTCGAAAATTTTCCTTTCTGTCAAAGCTTCATTGTTAAATGTTTCATTAAAATGGTGATGAGTTAGAGAATTGTTAACTATATCTATGCCTTTCATAAAAGAAGCGATGATTGCATCCATTCAATCTCATTTAATCGTGGTAGAACTTCCATAAAAATTATTGACTGGGTTTCCTTTGAAGTAAAAAGAACGTTAGAGCACAAGAATTCTTTACAGAAACTCATTTTAAAGTTTGAAATTACTTTTCTTTCAGATAGAAATAATATTTTTGGAATTGTATCATGTTTATAAAGCTGTGGAACTTTTTATTTGCAATATTAATGTTCTACTGTATAAGTATAAATATTTACATCAATAAAAATAATTCGATAACATTATAACTTATTTTAATTAGGTGGATTAAAGGTTAATTTGTTTCAGTTAATTCCCTAAATACTTGCAAAGCCAGAAATCACAACCAATGTATTAATTAACAGTGTTAAGCTTGTCCAATTTTATTTGCTGAAATTTCTTATTTAACGAAAAAATATGGCAATTACACATAATTATGTAAAGATCTTAACACATTCTCGTAGTAGAAGTGCTTTGATTTATTTTCTTCCTTCTATTTTTTGACACAATTGTTTAAACAAGATAACACTTATTTTTTAATGTCACCAAGTTTCTCGACTTTTTATCGCTAAATATACCACATACAATAATTACAAAACCATTGGGAAGAGTATTATATACGTGCGATTAAACCACATTTTTGTAATATAAAAATATTTTAAGGTTAAATGGCGTATAAAGGGATTAAACATTTTTCGAGGTCAAGGTAATGAGATTATTACAGCTCTAAAGTGAATTCAGTGACAGTTAAAACGTCTATATTATTAGAATCTAGCAAAAAAAATTCAATGTTCAACCTAAATATATGATGTAACTTTCATGAACCCAGGGTTACTTTCAGTGAAAATGAAAGCATTTCTTAAATCACTTTGGATTTAACACATAAATAAAAAATGTCGCTAATAGATTTGAAGTTTGTAAACTGGAGGCTCATTTCTCTCGAATAAGATAAAAAAGTAAGCATTCATTATGTATAAAAATATATATATGTAATAATTCACGTAAATTTTTCTAGAGGAATTTTAATCCTTAATGGCCTTAATCTTAATTTGGTGGTATTGTATTCATGATGTTGTGTGTGTGTGCCATATAAGCAAATTCTTAATACACAAATAGAGTTAGCTTTCTTTAGAACAGATACACATCTATAGACTACAAATTCAACAAAGTTCTTCCTGTTCTGATTACAGAATTGTAGCTCTGTTACTTCAACATAGCGAAAAATATTATATTTTACCATTTCAGTTAAAATAGGCAAGGCAAAACATCAGAAGATATCATTTTGAAGAGTCGAAATTAACTAAGAGCCACAAAAAATGTATTACCACAAAAAGTATACCTTATGAAATATTAAATAATGAAATTGCAAATTTTATGCTTAAATAAGGAAATACTTTGTTTTTGGAAAAAAAATGACGCATTTTCCATGTTGCCCAGATAATGAGACATTTTAATAAAACTGATTTATCTCTAAATTCCAACTTCATTTATCATTACATTTTAGATGAAATACTTTAATCAATTAAGAGAAAAATGAATGTTCTATTCAAACCAGATTCTTAAGTCGCACTTATTACATTAAATTAAAGAATCTAATGGATAGAGGTAAAAGGGACCATTAATTTTTGCTTCGAGTCATTTTAGGATGGCGCCCTTTTAGTGTTATTGCCTTAGATGGAAGCAAAATAATCCAATAGTCAAATGTTAATCAAGCGCTGAAAATGTCATTACAGGTGAAGATAACAGAATGTATAAGCACGAATGCTTAAATTGCAAGTGACAAGAAACATTTGATCAGAGAACGCAATCACCGAATACGTGGAATTTTGAGATCAAATAAACATGTACCAGGATTACGTGATATCTGAGAAAACTTCCAATCAACCAGAGAAATGTTGCCGCAAATGCGCAACTGATTGTGACCTTGATAAATAAGGGGTTGGTAAGTACTGCTGAAATTTCTCCATCTCTTATTCCGATTGTCTTCTCGACAGCCCTCTTACATTTAATTTCTTAGTGGTGTTAACACAAAGAGGCGAAGGGCTTTCAGAGTAATCCAAAACATCTGGATTTATTCTTCCTTCTCTATTTAATTCTTAGGTAAAGGTACGTAATTAATTATTGAATAAAAAGCAAAGGAAAAGGTGCTTTTAGCTTTCAAGGATAAAATTGTTCACTTGCATCTCATTTCGTTTTCAAAAAAGTGAAAATAAACGCTCAATGTTCGCTCGAAGAGTTATCTCTGTTCATTTATAAAGTTAATGAAAGAATATTTGACGGGATATAAACTTTCTGCTTTTTTTCCATTAAACTTTTTGAATAAAAGTTCGGCACTCTTTGCAAAGATAAATTTGTAAAAAGAAAGTAGAGTACCAAATTTAAATTTCCATCATCAAAGTTTTGAGTTTCGTCGTTTTATTAATTAAGTGTTAAACCTTTTCTAAACGTACTCTTTTCAAAAATGGAATATATAGCTGCGGTATTTCCAGGCTATGACAAGAGCTATT